TCTTAGATGCTGTTATTTTACTCATGGCGTCGGCTGAAAGAAATAAACAGCAAAGTTAGTAAAAATCCCAAGTAAACAAGGCGTGAAAAAACAGAGTATTCGTCAGGCCGGCTACCTCTAGAGCACCGACTGCCGAGGCCACAGGCGGCCAAGAAGTACTCATCATAGAGCCACTTGAAGCTCGGGACGCAGTGTAGGGGTACTTGCTCTCGTACCCCTGAAGTAGAGTTCACCCTAGTCTCTACTTTGAAGAGTCCTTTGTCTAGGATCTCTCTTTTAGCCTTTGGGGGAACAGGCGGCATGCTGCGGCCGCCTGCAAGAAGAGGCGGATCCCTGTTCCACTTGTTAAATCGTTTGTTCAGCTCCGTGTCTGAACTCTCGATAATAAGGAAGGTGTTCCGCCAATCCTTCCATTTGTTTGCCTTACCTCTCGTCATGAGGTAACCCCTGTGGCTTGTTAGTTGATACCAGCCGGTACCTCCCGACTTAGGGGTCCGGCTGAGATAGTTCATGTGGGCGAAAGCCTCAAAACTTGGCTCCACCCCGTTCAGTTCGCACCCGGCCACATAGCCGAGTACGTTTACCCAAGAGTTGGGGGCTAACTGCCATAACCCCAGATCATACCCATCTAAAATCCGCTGAACAGCCGGATGTAATGGGAAGCGCAGACCAGCTTTGATGGCCGCCACATAGCAGCCAAAACAGCCGTCACCATAGCTGGTACCAGCCGGCCAGACGACAGTATCTTCTGGATCCGGCACAAACAGTAAATACTCCGGGCTCATTTTGTGGTTAGCAATAAAGCTCGCCACGTTGTCTCGCATGGTTGCGATCCGGCCCCGGGGCACCCTGCAGTAGTAGGGGGTGTTTTCCTCTCTGTAAGAGGCGGACGGCTCTGCCCAATTATCCCCCTTCTCCACTGCATGGGAACTTCTCGCCTCTTGTAGGCGGTTATGTTTTTCTTCTGAGTCAGAAGAACTATGGTCAGAAGAACTATGGTCAGAAGAGCTGGAATCGGACTCGTCCCCTGACGAGTCCGAAGAGGACGACTCCTCCCCTCTCCTAGAGGGGCCCGCCTCCTCTCCCTTAGAAGGAGCAGAAGGTAAATTAGACATGTCCACGGTTAGATGAGAAGGGAACACCTTGGTCCCTCTCTCAGAACTGTCAGCTTGACAGTCGCCTCGTTCCACATCTGGCGCCTGGTCAGATGTTTCGCTAAGGAGTACCCTTTGGGAGGAGCCGTCTGAGTTTGATATTCTAGCAGTCTTTTTTGTTCTGGCCATCACGTTCTGCATAGACACAGATTCAGTCGGACTTTGTATAAAGGGCAAAGATGGGTCCAGAAAAGGGCAGGCGGCACTCCTAGTCCTAGATTCAGCCGTCCCCGGTGACCGGCTGATCACTAACTTAGGGCGTGTCGTGTGCTTCCATGGTGCCATTTCAAAAAATAAAAAGAAAATTAAGAGTAAGAGAACTGAGTTACCTGAACGGATGACAGTTGATGAAGTCCTGAAAGTTCGGGTCAGTCGGCTTGTCAGAACAGGCGGTAGGCAGAAAAAGTCCGAAAATGTCAGAGCAAGTTCAGGGGTCCGAATGTTCTCGCAAAAATTCTCAAATGTGAAAATGACCGAAGTCAGCACTTCCTTTTATAGGCAAAATGAGAAGGCGAAGGGTCGCCTCCGAATTCAAATTTGGGCGGGAGAGTCTCCCGGCCGTCTGCAAGGTGACACCTGTAACGGGCCGTCGCCTGTCACCGTGCGACACCTGTCACAGGCGACACGTGACCAGTCGCGTGCCACCTGTGAGGGGCAAATGATTAGGGGATTTTTATCCACCAAGCGCCGTTTGACAAGTGGACCAACCAGGTTCCGCCACGCGTCCTCCACGGACCACTTAAGACACGCCACGTGTCCACCCATGCCAAATGGGACAACCGGCCATCAAGGCCCATTTCAGTCTAGAAGCCCGATCGGCCCTAGGTTTACCTTAAACCTAGAGAGTTGCACGCTTCCCAAGGCTATAAATACTCGATTAATCCTCATTAATCAAGGGACCGGATAATTAACAGAACAGAGGAGAAACATTACGGAACACACTAATAACCGGCTGATCTCGCTAGCAAAGCAGATTACCTACATTAAATACTCTCACCTAGAGAGACCTTATTACTTTAATTTCTGTATTAATTACTCCTTAATCAGGTACTAACTTGACCGTTGGAGGCGGAGCTCTCAGGAGTCTCCGTTATTTTGCAGGTACAGGCGTCCGGTTCCAGTCTCGGAATTGTAACTCTCCCGCAGGACATCAGAAAACCCCGAAACACCAACCTTGATCATTATTGGCATGCAGGGTATATTTGATCTGTATCGCAATTATCCCTTTTTTTTCATAACCTACAAATTAGTTAGAGTTGTGATAATAGATGCTAAAATATCCTCAAAAGCCCTTCCATGAGAACCACTCTCGCAGAAGCATTTAAACTTACTGCACATAAAGCACGTCATCAATATGTATGAAACTGTCATATGATGAACTTCAATATTCTGCTTCATCTTATCTCTATTTAAACTTTTATCGATAATGCAGCTTCAATCACTGGGCATCACACTTAAGACTACTCCCACAAAAAATAAACATACTTCTCATCTTAGATTTTCATTTCGCATAGCCCAAAGTTTCCATACTGCCTCCAGAGTCCAGTTTCCTACAAATGGCCTTGGATGTGGATAATTGGTCATCACTAATGTAGTAAGGTGTGCTAGTTTTTGTACTAGGCTTGCTAATTCAATTATCCACCAATTTCATAACAAAATATCATAGCATTTCCCCAACAATTCAAACCAAAATCACTAATACTTTCATAGCAAAAAAACCAACATAGCATTTGTCCAAACTCTCAAGAATCACCATTATTTTTCCAACTCACCCAAAAGTTCACTGTTCACTTCTTCCTTGAAACCTAAGTGCAAATGATTTACCCCTATTCCATTAATTATTCTTTCCTAAAACCCATGCCAATTACATGCTTAAACACCCATTTCAACACTCAGGACAAACTATTGAAACATTCAAAATCAAAACTGACATGTCAAATCCCCGAATCAGCATATATGAGTTCTTTCAAAACCTTAAATTGTTCATACATACTTTAATGCTTGCTTCAATACCTTAAATTATTCAAAAATACTGCAATAAAAATAAAGAAAATCATATTTAGCAAATGAAAATACCAACTTTCTAACAAAACCCTTTGAATCAATCCTCAAAATTCCCAAAATAAAACAACCCCGCATATAAAATACCAAAAAAAACACAACCCCATCTTACAAAACGAAGTTTACAGGTTTCAATTTCATCCAATTTTAGGAACAATCAAAATTAACACTAAGAAAGCTTTAAGAAGTTAAAAATTGTACCAGTAATTCGTCCAAATTTTGGAAGATTTATGAAGAGTCAGCTTCACTCTTGATCTTCCAAGCTGAGAAAAATAGGAGAGATAAAATGAGAAAGTTTTGCTTGACCAGAGGTTGATTTATATACAACGAAGAAGAAGAAAGAATCTGCTGTATATTTTGGATGGTATAAATAAATAAATAAAAATGAAAAGAAGTAAACGTTACTCAACCGAATATTCGTTGCTAAGATTGGTCGTTGGCTCGTTGCCCACATGTTTACCTTCTGTTCTTGCATGGGCCCATTACATGAACTTTCCCAAGTTAGTACAATTCTATTTTTATCACACCTCTACCCAAATAACGAAAATTTGTAAGAAAGTGTAAGGATTAAAATGCTTAGAAGGGATGGTATTAACTCAATCAAGGTATTCCGTTTGAGCTTGAGAATGCATTAACACTTGTTAGTAGAACTTTTCATCTACTCCGGCTAAGAGTAATTGGAGACGGACCCAACTAAAATTCGAATTAGCAAGAACCTAGTGGATTTTGTATTACCACGTTTGTTAGCATAAAAAAAAAAAAAAAAAAAAAATTATAATGATGTAAACTTGTAGTTTAACATAATATCACTTCTCGTGTTTTGAGATTTCTTGTGTATGTTTCTTATTTCTTCCATCTAATAGTCTATCGGTCTATCCTTGAAATAGGAAATAGGAGTACTTTTAAACTTTCATTGGTTCATCCATAATATAGGGGTACCTTTAGAATCGTGGATTCAATCCAATCTCGAAAAGTTTAATATTTAGTATAATTTCACTTCTTGTGTTTTTTTTTGCTCTCTCTCTCTCTCACTCTCTCTCTCTCTCTCATCAAGTTAGGTTGGGTTTATTTGTAGATCCACTATACTAAGTATATTGTACTATCCCTGTTTCGTAATAATCTTAACACTTTCCTTTTAGGTGTGATTCATAATAATTGTAACACTTCCTTATTTGGTAAGGATCCACTATTATCTTACTAACCCCACTTTTCACAAATATTTTATTATATCTCTCTCCTACCAACTTCACTTACACTACTTTTTTTGGGAATTCATGACAAAATCACACGTAGATTGGTGTAATTAATATTAATTTATCCTCAAAATTATTTTCCTATTATTATTTGCCCAATTGCATTATTTTATTAAAGCCTACAAGCCTACCTTATATTTTTTCTTAAACTATTTATACTCCCTATCGGTGTGATTATTACAAAACGAAGGGAATAAGTAAATACTCTCTCCGTATTATTTTTTTTAATTTATTTATTTTTTTTTATTTGCATCACTTGGGAATGCACAAAGTTTTAGAAGAGTAATATAATATTGTGAGTGGGTAAATAAATTATTATAGGAAAAGTAAGATGAGGGTCATGAAAGAGAAAGTATGTAAGAGATGATACATATTTTTATTATTTAAGTGGGGACCACGGTAGAGAAAAATGATAAAATATTATGAGTGGGATTTAAAAAGAAAGAGAAATAATAAAATATAATACGAGTATAAAAAAAAAGTGATACATTTTAAAAAAAAAATATCCATAAATTAAAAATAATGCAAATAAAAAAAACTGAGGGTGTACTCCATGAGTTGTGGTGAACCTCTTCAATTTTAACAGATCACAATAAGTCAATAATAAATCAATATGTGCACGAAAAAAGATATTTGTGACAAACAATAAAAAGATGAAAAGGGTAAAGTAATAGAGAAATACGGAGTAGGAAAGAACCGAGGCAAATGACTGGTAATTCGTAAGTTCGTTACATTTCTAGAACGAGCGTTTACAGAGGAAGAGAAACAGTGAACCCAAATTCCAAATTCTTCCAACAACATCAGAATCTCCCAATTTGTCGATTCTATAACTAGGTATGACTTTCTATCTCCTAAAACCCTTTTTCATTTCATGAAATTCAATCTCATATACGCAGTTTATTTGCAATGCGTTTTAAAATCTTGAGCTGGGAACTAATTTGATTCTGCTACCGTAGCGATTAATTACCGCATTTGCTTCGCATTTAATTTTTTTTTCTAATAAATTGTTCATTATTTTCAAATTTTCCCTTTTTTTTAACTGTATTTTGGGGCAAGAAATCACGCATTAAGATGGTGCAGAACAACATAAAGCAGCTGATTTTTCTGCTACAAATTCCAGGATTTGTGGTTGTTGCATTAAAAATTAATGAAAATTTGCGTAAAACATTTATTTGTTGGTTGATAAATTTATATTTTATTTGGGAAAGTCGTTTTCTTTCCTTTTTTGTGTGTAAAAATTTGCTGGGTTTTGTATTTGAGCTGCTTTACAGTGTTTTAATTGTTTGTATTTCTGGTGGATAACTGATAATTTTTGTAGAGTAGATTTTAAACTATTATGAGGAACTTGCAGATGTAAATTAATTTTAAATTGCCTTTATTTTCACAAAACAATTACAGGAATTATATGGTTTGATGATTCTGTTGCTAAAGCGTAGCTCTTTGTAGTTGTAAATGAGAATGAATATGATTTTACACTATGGGTGTCATGATAAGAGAACTTACTTTTAGCCTGCTACAGATATTTGATTGATTTTGCTATTAGTAAAGAGGAAAAGATGTTTTTGGGGCGTACCCACGGTCTTCCGGTGTATAGCTCACTGAATGATGTGTTGTATCCAGACCACGAATCAGAAGCAGATGAGGACGAAGGAGGAGGTAGCTCTAGCCAAATTTTATATATGGCTTCCTTTGACGAACTTGCAGAGAATTACATTAACTATGAAACTATCATATGGCTTTCAATATCGTTAGTGTTGGTTTTAGCTTGGGGAGTTGGGGCTATTATGTTGCTTTTTTTGCCCATTAGAAGATATGTGCTTCAGAAGGATATTTTTTCACGAAAGCTGTATGTTACGCCAGTTGAAATTGTCTACAAGGTAGAATTAGGTTGAACTTGTACATCTGGATAATTTTGAGGAGGGATTGGAAGTATATTTGACATTGCTGAACTTTGTTCTGACAGGCATCTAGACCATCGTATGTACCCTGTTGGAAAATGGTGACGACGGAGACACGAGTCCCTTTGTCCTTGGTGATTGATATAATTATAGAACAAGGTTTGAATTCTAAACCATGATAGTTTGATGTCCAAGAAATGCTTGACTGAGTATATATTTCTCCAACCATTCTCGCTTGAAGAAATGAATTAATGTTAATCCTCTATGAAGTCCCTGATTGTTTGCTGCTTTCATACATGTAGTTCACTTACTTTGCTTTATACATTTAGGTTGCTTACAGTCTGCGTTTGGTATACACACCTTCAGAGTGGAGAGTATATCTTGTGGTAAGGCTGCTCCTGTGGATGAACTGCAGATCCAAGGAGTATCTAATCCAGGACTTTTGCGGAAGGTATAGCACACTATCTTGAGTCCTTGTAACTGTTGTGCCTTTTACTTGCCTTGAGCCCCTATAACAAAAGAAAAAATGTCATACAATTTAGCAACTTTGTTCTCTTGCATGGTTTACATTGTATCATTATAACAAAGTAATGTTAAGGACTAAGTAGATGGATTTGTGTGTGTCCTATCAACAGGTAATTATAACAGAAGCTTCAAAGGTTATTCGAGATGCTGGAAAGAAGATGAACCTTATGTCATCTTTGAATCAGAGACTTGCTTCTTCAAGACCACCATCCAAGAAGTGGAAGGTATGTCAATAATGGGAAGATAACACAAGTGATTTAACTCAAAATCTTGAGAACTGACTCCTTAGAACTTTTCTTCAGCATCAATGAACATGATGTCTAGCAGGCTCTGCATTGCCTAATCTATGTAGTAATATATGGCACTAATTTTAGTAATGTCTCTTAATTGTCGAGTCCTTGTACACTCCAAAATCATTTTCTAAAGATCTCGTTTTCACTCATGTCACTGATAAATATGATAAAGTCAGCCTTGGTCGTCCACTATGTTCCAATTAGAGGGAACTCGAGAAGCTGGGAATATTTGTTGGAGAGAAAAGTTGTCCGGTTGTCCCTTTAAAAGGAATCAGATTTGTTACTTCATCTGCAATGTCTAATCTCATTTTATGTCCTCTTGTGAGGAAAATAAGACTCTTTTAAGGTATGGGTTGTGTGAAGAAGCTAGCTTGTGAAAGAGAAGTTCATAACAACTGTATCTGTTTGTTTCGGGGTGAAGATAATGCTTGAGTTTAGTGATCCTCAGCTCTACTATCTCCTGATGGGTGATGTTGCTGCGCATATACCTTCCTACACTAATCCCCTACCTTAATGACTCCAAACTTTTTTCACCCCACCCCACAAAAAAAAGTGAAAGAGTTTCGTTAACCTCATTCTCTGCTGTGATGTAACTGGAAGAAACTAGGGAAGATTGAAGAAAGTTGATGCACATCGTATATGGTAATATAATAGGAGAATTGTCTCATAAGCTAAAAGTTAAGTGATTTTTGTATTTATTGTCATTAGGTGAGTTAACTTTCTTTGTGGGATTCATCAAAATATCAGAGTTGTAGTATGCTTACATGCAATCCATAAATTGAAAATGAGGGAAAGTAGGAGGGTAGGATTTAGTGAAAATCATGCTATTTGAGGCAAATGATGGAGAGTGATTTAAATGGATGTGTGAAGCAATCAAGACTAGTCAAGTTGAGTTGCTATGGTTTTAGATGACTGAATATGTTTTAATGATTAATTTTGCTTATGAACAATGACTGGAAAACTGGGGTTATATGTAATATCCATGAAAGTTGGCTTCTTCTTACTATATTTGCGTTTTTTATGTGCTATTACAGGCTGAAAATTCTTCGTCTATTGTGCCTACGGAGCACAAAGGAATGGTTTCTGAAGAGCTGTTTTTGAGTAAACTGGACGAAGTGGATCAATCTGTTAAGGTGTGTAGTTTCCTTGATCCCCTATCTGAAGTTAAGATGTAAGTGATTTGAGTTTGAGGATTTACACTATCAGATTTGAAATTGCCTCCAGTAATTTGGCATCATTCCATGATATCTTGATTTTGTCTAATTGTTTGGGTTGATTGACAAGATGATATGCTTGTTCACTTGCTTCAGTAGTTCTGATCAGTTGTGCATATTCTACTTTTGAGTTTACCCTAATTCTCCTTTCCCTGATAACCAGAAAATTGAGTTTCTTATCGACAAATCCCGAATCTCACCAAAGTTAGCTGAAAGATGTGAAGATGTTGCTCCGAGTTTGTAAGCTTTCCTCATCCATGTTCGGCCAACTGTAAGTTGAAGAGAGTTAAAAGTGGAAGGTGTAACCAATCTTCTGTGTTTATTAACGTTGAAGATCGTTCTTGCAGCCTACAGGATGTCAGATAGATACGAGTATACGACTTGTGTCTGCACTGTGTATATAACTATATACTGGTACATTATTGTGGCTTATGCCTTTACACAGGTTTTGTATTAATGCTTATCGATGTTTACACCACCAGGCATAGATGAGCCTCAATTGTCTATCAACTAGTATAATGATCTACTTTGTCATTATAGTGTCTTACTCGCTTTATATCATGAACAATCCAGAAAGTCCGCGTATCCATGGTTGTTTAACCACTCGCTTTATTCCATAATTATTCCAGAAAGTTGTAGAATCCCCGGTGGTTTCACCCTCTTATACCACGAAGTTAATGTTAAGTTAAATGTTTAAGTTACAAGTTTACAAATGAATTTTCATCCCTGTTCTAATGTTACATCAATATTACACAACACCACAATTCCTACAACAAGTCTCATTTTACTGAAACCAAAAAAAAAAAAAAAAAAAAAATAATCCTCAATAATAATCTGATTTCTCTCGTATCTTGTTTACATTTCAAGATTAATCACCCAAATTGTTTTTTATTTGCTTTCAATCAATCAATCTCCACTATTATTGGCTTAATCTCATTCTTTACCATTAAATTCATTTACTTGTGCATTTGCTAAGTCCAGTAGTTTCCATACAAACACAGAATTTTCTAAGTATAGAAGAAAAAATAATTGAGCTATTTTTTTTTCTTAAAAGAAGAATGGAGAAATCAATGGCTAACCCATTTAACCAATTTGACAAACTCATCATCTGAATAATTAAAAAAATCCTGCGTATCTTCAAAATATAATAATTTACATAAACCCTAGATTCATCATATAACCAATCAACCATTAGAAATAAACATCGAGAAAAACAAAAATAAAAAAAAAAAATCATCAGAAGATTAAACTGCAAGATAATCATATAAATTATCATATTGTTGGTCTTCAAAGTGTTGCAGTAAAAATCTCATCAATTGATCTCACATATATAAAAGTTTATTTTCAAAATCAAATAAAAAAATCACAGAAAAAATTTTCGAAGAGAAAACGTTGAGTTTAACTGGAAATAAGGGTAGTTGCTAATTTATAGGGTGGTTAGTTCTTCAATTCCAGGGTTTTATGAGTCGTACGCCGTCAAATATTCATCTCTTTATTTTTGCTTTATTATTCTGGTTTTGTTTGGGCCAGATATCTCTTCTTATTGGGCTTTTACTGGACTAGGCCTAATTGATTCTATTGGGTTTGGATGATGGTCTTTTGGATTTAATTTGCACTTTTGTAAAATACTTAACAAAATTTTTAAAAAGCTTAAAATGTTGACCATCAAGTGTGATAAAAAAGGTTAAAATGTTGATCGTCAAGTGTGATAATGATAATAATTGTTTAAGGCAATTGTTAACATTGGTTTAATTAAGGATGCGTTTGGCAAAATATAAATTTAATAATTTGGTTCAACACCAATTTACAAAACATGTTGAAATAAATATTTATTTTATTTGTTTCGGGTCAAATTCGGATTCTCCATATTGCGATGAGATATCAATTTGCTAACATATTCACTAATAGTCTATGATATATATAAATTTGGATTTATTTAGCGTACAAATTTCTCTCGCTATGTTTTACCAGGTGAATAAGTGAAAACGGAACTACATTTTATCATAAATTTCGAATACATTTTGTCGTAGATTATGGATGTATTTCTAAGTACAAAATTTCTTATCTTTTTGTAACATAGACTAGTAATATTGTAATCTTCTAAAATTTAGGTTAAAGGTTTATCATTTTTCATTAATTCTCAAACTCTCATTTCAACATATCACAGTAAGACATTATTTACTCTAAACCCTCAATTTTCTCTTTACTTTGTAACCATCTCTGCAAACCCTAAATTTTATCTTTACTTTATAACAATAGTTTAATCCTCAAACTCTCATTCCAACATATCATAGAGTATTGTCGCACGGAGAAAGCGTGTGTTAAATTAAGTTTGAGATGAATATATTACTCTCATATTCTAGTGGTCCATTAATCACTATCGTACCACCAATTCCAGAGTCACAATACTCACAATCACAAATTCCACAGTCGGAAAGTTTTCGTCCACGGTTCAGAAAACCAACGTATTCATCGAATATGAATAAGAAGAGAATATTGGTAGTAGGAGGAACAGGGTATTTGGGTCAGCATCTTCTCCAATCATTTGCAAATCTCCAAGGATCATCTTCTTATGATCTTGCCTTCACTTATTGCTCGACCCCTCCTTCTGATTTGCTTCATGCTCTTCCTCAATCACACTTTCCCCTTGATTTGCGCATTGGTGATGGGTTCGATTTCATTACCGATACATTCGGTCAGGTAATTCATAGGTTGAAATGTTGAATCTGATTTAATGGTAATTGTTTCATTATTTCTGATAATACCCTTTTGAATTTCTTGATTGTTTTTGTATATGAGGGCAATTGTTGGTTAATTGTTACAAACTATACCCATTTGGATTTGTTTGTGTTATTTTTGGCCAAGTTCTAGATTGTTGATTATGATTAATTTTATGTTGTGTGGTTGTTGTTTAGTGGAATTCCAATTTAATTTTATGATACCACTCATTTGAATGTTGCTTCAATTTAATTATGAATGAATGTGATATTATTTGTTGTAAATATTAACAAGAATGAAGTTTTGGTTGATATAAGTTGAAATGATATTGATATGGCAGCCAGATGTAGTTGTGAATTGTGCTGCACTCTCGGTACCTCGGGCTTGTGAGGCTGATCCTCTTGCTGCTATGTGTATTAATGTGCCAAAGTCTCTTGTCAGCTGGATATCGAGTTTTAAAGAGAAAGAAACTCTCTTGATTCACCTTTCAACTGATCAAGGTATAATTTAATCTGGTTTTATACTCAAATTCTATCTGCTGGAAAGGATAAAAAGTACCCGGATTCCATCAAACCGGTTTTGGAAATTTTCATTTGCTAGGTTTTCTGGGGAATGTGAATGATATTACATTTTCTTGTATATTTTTGAATCAACTGTCTAATTTTTGTAATGTTGGAACTTGGCTATTGCCTTTTAAGTTTTAATACATAACTTTCTTAGTTGCGTTAAAAACACTGTCAAATTTTTGATGTTTAGTAATGTTCGAGTTAAAAGGGGTATGCTACTTTTATTGTTCAGCATTGTTAGGAGTATGATGGTATTGATTGCTCCAAGGAATTTTTTTCTTGATATCTCTAGTTGTCAGTTTATGAAGGGACCAAATCCTATTACAAAGAAGAAGATAAGACTTTACCAGTGAACATTTATGGGAGATCAAAAGTGGCAGCAGAGGAGTTTATCAATTCACATTGTTCAAACTTTGCAATCTTGAGGAGTAGTATCATCTATGGGCCGCAAACAGTATCACCTGTCCTAAAGTCCCTTCCCATTCAGGTATAACACGGAGTTTCATATGTTATTATGTTTTTCATTGACTGGAATTTCACTTTTTGAATAATCAACATGTTACTCAAATGAAACTTATTTGTGATAAAGATGTTAGTAATGATTATACTTCTTAAGTGTAAAGGGGCATTTTTGCAAGGCAGTAATTAATAAGAACCTGTGAAGATTTTCCATTAATTTATTAATCTCTGATGACAATCACAAACTTTCAATACATATATTTCCCTCAATATCTATTTGGACGTGAGACTATTGTGGAAATAATGTTTCTTATTTTCGTTTTAATAACGTTGTGATACAGTGGATTGATGACATACTATCTAAAGGAAACAATGTGGACTTCTTTTTTGATGAGTTTCGAAGCCCAGTGTTCGTCAATGATGTAGTGCGTGTTATTATAGCTCTAACAAAAAAATGGGTCATAGGTGAGAAGCTTGTTTTCATTGATTCATATGCTTTGGAGGAATCCCTATAAAATTTTCATATAACTTAATAAGTTTTAAAAATTAATATTGGCAATTTTTTTGTATAATCAGATGGCACGCCAATGCAATTACTATTAAATCTTGGGGGCCCGGATAGGGTTTCCCGTGCTCAAATGGCGGAAGTGGTAGCGGAGATCAGAGGATATGACACCTCTCTGATCAATCACGTGTCTGCATCATCGGTTGGTATTCGGAATAAGATTACATTCAATTTCCTGGTTACACTCGTATTAAATTTTTTTTATTGGATTCATGTTTTTAATTAGATAGTAAACGAATTATTATATTTCAGGTTGATCGCGGTGTGAGATCACCGGCAGATATATCCATGGACATTAGCAAACTGGTTAACACACTCAATATAGCTCCTATTTCATTCAAAGATGGTGTAACTTTGACACTTTTAACCCATTGACTAGTCGACGAGTTTGGAAGATACATTTCCATGTATTTGTTTATGACATTTTGCTCTTTTCATTGCCGAAACTATAAATTATCGTTGATTCATATTTTTTAATGATGTTTTTTCTGCCTAAGGATATGCGATAAGTCTATCCCCAGACCTAAACTTATATCTTAGACTCTGTACATCTACTTTTAATTACTTTTTCATATTCACACATTATTCTAATAATCACCCAAAAAATGCAACACCTTATGGATTTTTGTATTGTCTTAAAATGGGGTTTGGTATCCAAAACTCCATTTAAGATTACTAGTAGTCTTTCCAAACAATACCATTAGAGTTTTGCTCAAGACTCACCTCCAGACTCTATAAAATTATCACCCTTATTTTGTTATAAAAGTTTCAAAAGGAGAGGAAACACTAGTTTTTATTTCCTTTCAAAGGTTTCACAATTTGAACAAGTGTCTAAGCTAACCCTATTTTGTATTGATGAGACAATTTTATAATTTGCATGCTATTGGTTTATTTATTTTTAACAATAGGTTTGTTGGGTGAGGGATTTATATGATGAAATTGATGGTGATTTGGCAAGTGAGGTTGTTCCATTGCCCTTATACCCTAATTTTTCTTTTAAAGTGTTTAAAATTTGTTGACACATGCTTTTAATGGTTTTTTTTTTTTTTTTTTTTTTTTTTAAGATGAATTGGATATTTTGTATTAGTGTTCGTTGGATATATTTTGTATATATTTAAGCTTATATTTTGAAAGTACAAATAGCTAAACCCAAGATTATTTTTATAATGGTTAGTGATTTTAAAATGGTGTAGATGTTTCCAACAGATTATAATTATTATAATCATTCAAGACTCATGTTATTATAATTTAATACTAATGAACCTCTATACCTAGCATATAATAATACAAACCATAAGTGCAGTGGCGGATCCAGAAAAAATATTTACCGGATCAAATACGTTAGATAAATTTTAATGGGGTCATTTAGTTAAAAATATAAGCAATTTTTATAGGAAAAAA